AAATTATTATAGAAGTAAAATCTGAATTGCAATTTTTTTTTTAAGAAACATTGACAAAAATAGACATTGAATTACAGTACATTACAGTACATTGCAGTAACAAACTTATTAAGATGATTTAAAAGGAACTAGCGCCGCGCGCGGGGCTATACGATTTTGAGTTACAGTAGCTTACAATGACGTCAAGCTACTAAAGGGGTGAATCATAATAACTACATCAAAAAATTGCCAAAAACGATTGTAAAGTTCATTCCATTACTAATGACTTATAAACTCACCTCTAGAAAAATATATCATCTTTTTAGTTCCCTTTTAAAGTTATAAATTTGTTAAAATTAACAACATTACCATATTGAATTATTAATAATTATTATTAGGTTATCATACATTCCTGATGATGACACAATAAGGTTGGAACGTCGAATCATGGTCTCCCTCTATTTATTTGGAGTAGCATTTATATTCGCCGCATGTTTGATTGTTTGCAGCCACTTGTATTAAGAACAATATAAATGTTTAATGGTAATTCCTCCATGATGATATACAGTATTTACCTGTAATCCTAGCAATTCCGGAGTTCATTGCTCCAGCGTACCCAGCGGTATGCGCACCAAGACTGTGGCCAATAATATGTATTTTGGAGTTCGAATAGCTTGCCTCCTTGTTCAAAAACTGGATGAAAAGCCCAACTTCAGCTCCAGCTACTCGGATATTTTGAACAGACTGGTAGTAAATATCACGAGATCCGCCTCCCCAATCAACAACTATAACATTAACATTCTCCTATAATGATAATAATTTTAATTCTGAATACCAAAATGGTGCAAACATCTTAAGGCATGCAATCTTCAAAGTACAACCAGGGAACAGTGAAATTACTTGTTTGTAATTTGGAGTTAAAGCTCTCTTACGCCCTTCATTCGATCTCTCGTTTCTGCTCAGTCCGTAGCATCTCAACCAAAACCCAAAATCTACTCTGGTTATTCTCAGTCCTTAAGCTTGATGAACATTTTACCTAGCTTAGTTTTTATCATTATGCATGGTCAACTCCTAGACATACGACTGGTTATTTTTTTTTCGAATTAAAAAAAAAAGTAGGCCAACTTACCATTTCAAGAAGTTTATTTTTGATGTCCATCACATATTGAGAGTTGAGACCAGATTCGGTGTAACCATGGATCAGGAAAACGGTTCTTTTTTTCCGATTAAATGTTGAAGATGTCAGTGTTGAAGAATCTGTTCTGTCAATCGTATGCGCTTTAGTGTCTAAACGGGTGAACAGATAGAAGTTTGTGTTGATGTAATCAGGAGACTTCGGCAGGAGATCATCAAAGGTAGCGCCGCATGATGGGTCGTTTGTAAAGCAGCCCAAGTCTCCGTAGCAAACTCTGTTGGCTAAAACTGTAAATACCAATTAGTTAAATGACTGTACAATTCGGACTGGACACCGCCCGCGGCCATTAGCCACTTAACCTGATCATTAATTGGGTACTACACCGAGAAACAACCCAAGAACTTTCCCATATTTTTTTCTTTTATCACTAACTTAATGAAGGCGAACGTTGAACAAACACCTTTTGTTTGTTTTTCTTTTTCGACACATCATCCACCCATGGAGGTATAAACATATTTTTATACCTCCATGATCCACCTACGTTTTCTTCTTTATGTACGTCATTGCTGTAAATAACGTAAAAAACATATATCATACATAGCGTTATAATAAAGTTGTAAACAACAACTATAGAATATATTCTATAGGCCTACTCTTTGGTATTATACTTGCCTTTAGTTGAGAGCGCGGCTACTAAAAAAAACAGCAGCATTTTTGCAGAAAACATATCCACTTCTAGGACTGTCAGTCTTGTTTCATTTTTGGAGAGTATTATTTGGAGTATATATAAGTTACAGAAGTCAATTAGTCCACCTGACACACATTAGGGCAACGCTTAGAGAACTTCTAATTTATCTAATTAATGGTGATATCTTATAATTATCGGCACAGCTCTTAATTCGGATTTCTCGTGTATATTCAGGTGCGACTAATAAAATGTGTTGTTTCTATCGGTGGGAAAAAGTACACTCCCGGTTAATTTAGAGCTTATTTTGGTATGATTAACGTTGGTTAACTTTGTTAACAAGTATAATCCGTATACTTCTTAACTTATGTTAACTATGCGCTATACCCATTCACAAACAGTTTAAATGTCTATTACTTACATACTTTATAACGACAGAAACGGATCATTGGTAGGCTAAATCTAATACCTTCAAAACATCAATAGGTGGCATTTCATTTTATTCAGGAATTAAAATCACATATTTCTTGAATACAAACAAAAACAATTAACAATACGTGGACAAACATAAAAAGCAATTACAATTTTAAATAGTAATTTCATAATATTTGTTGTTATTCTATGAATAAAGCTCATGCCAACAAAGTGTACACAAACTATAATAATACATCAGCATATGTCTCTTTATTCTAATCATAATTGATTTTAACATCGAGAAGAAAATATGTAACTTTATAGGCCCATTATTAATTGTTTAAGTGTGTGAACAATTAATTTAGAAGACAAGCCTCCGTTTACTTAATTATGCGCTTACAAGTTTATTCTTAATTTCTTTCACTGATAATGTAAAGTCACTATCACGATGAAAGTTTCATCAATGATTTCCGCTATCTTTCGTACCAAGGTAAACAATTCTAAAATTATCGAATAAATTAGAAGGAGATAATGATGTTTGTTTATACTAAGCCACTTAAACAGCAGTATGGTTTATAATATGCTTCTTTCATAATCGCTGAAGCAAAAGTTTGGAATAAATTCTCTTAAATATTTCAAGAATGGCTTTCGACATTTTCTCAAAACAAATTATTAAAAACACATTTTCATATTATCACTTTTTTAACATTCATAATATTTATATTGATTGTTGTTTAGTTAGTTATTGTTAATTAATGACGTTTATTGTTTTTCCTAGGACGCCTATTTTGTTTTTAATATTGTGTATAATAGTTTTGTTTTAGGTAGCCTTCCTGTATGTTGTATATTATATTTAGTTGGACAATTTTGTAAACAGTATTACGG